AGTAGTGCCACAACAATAAAGTTCCTTTTGTGCCCTCACAAAGGTTAAAGGTAACATTGCCTCAATGAATATGTGAAAGTGGCTCCTTTAGAATGTTACCATCCTCAGCATTTTTTGTCGGGTAACTTGGACTGGCCTCTATGCCCCATTGTCGGGATCAACAATGAGCCTATCCACTCCGTGAAAAGAAGTTAGGAGAGGTAAAACATGGGAAAACGAATATCACAGCATCCACAACTTACAAGGATGCTTTTCTTGAAGAATAACCTTCAAATTGGTCCTCATACACTGATACAGTCATACAAGTTCACCTACTATTTTTAACAAACAGCTCCGCTTGCCTAGACATGGACCATCATTGGTAAATCAGTTTTTATTAAACACGCCGCAAATGAATAGTGGTGTCAGGCCTAACTTTAGAACATACTCCCTCCGTCCACAAAAAAACTTCCCGGTTTGACCGGGCACGCACATTTAGGCAAAGTGAAAATATGATTGAATTGACTTTCCATAGATACCCCTCCTCCCTTTTCACTAACCAAGCCTCCCTGACTACACCCAATTCACCTACAGTACCAGCACAAATAACTTTCATCTCACCCAAAGGATCAGCTCAATACCAACAACAACCGGATGTCAGCCTCCCAACCCAAATCTCGTTGTTCATCTTTCTTTAGCTCAGCACCGGCAATAGATGGTCAGGGCCTTAGTCCTCTTCCTAAAGAGATTGAATGCCGGCCAGCGACCCTTGCGGGAGACAAAACGTATACAACCTTCCGATCTGGCGTAAAAAAGACTTACTTCTTCAGATCTGACGAAGAAGAAGACTCAATGACTAGAAGATTGGAAGAAGTTTTGAAATAGAAGAAAAAAATTGATGCAGAAATCCTTTGAAGAAGAAGAAGTTATGATGAAGAAGAAGATTTGAAAAAGTTCTGAAGAAAAAGATGAAGAAGAAAAATTGAAGTCGGGGAGGAGAGGTACAATGGTGGAAGGAGAGAGAAGATGTAGCTGAGGGTGATATTGGAGTGTGTAGGGGTTTGGATTAAGTGAGTAGAAGATTTTATTTGAAAGGGTAGAAAAGATATTTTACATACAAAAGCTTGCCAAAAAAGGAATGGGAAAATTTGTGGACGGACAGAAAAGGAAAGTGGGAAGATAATTTATGGACGGAGGGAGTATAGAAGATTCAGTATCTACCTTGAAGCCTATTTGAGTTTTCCAGTTTGTACACCAATGTCTAGTCTGGTGACTTCTGAGTTTCAAATGGAGGGTAAAAATGAGAAATTCCCCTGACCCACTCAGACAGCATTGATAGACCAGTTTGTCATTTTACTACTTAGTGCATTTGAGCCAATACTAAATATGATATCCTTTGGAGTACATTTCTAGGATTCAACGTCAATAGAATTATTCCATCCATGCCAGCAAGGGTGTCTTCATTTCCAAATGTAGTTCGCTTTCCTAAAGTGGTATTACAGGTATTACAGAAGATTCCACTTTACAGGTATTACAGAAGATTCCAAATGTTGAAGACAGCATTACCTTTTAACCAAATCTTCAGATTTGGTATGCAGAAAGGAATAAATGAGGCATTAAGGGGGGGAAGAATATGTGGGGAGAAAAGAAGGATTTCAAACACTGTAGGTTTAGCTGATGGGAATGGAATCCTTAAGGCATAATTTTTCTACAGTTTAGTTTCCTTTGGAATAATGCACATTGATAACAAAATAAACTTTGTTAAGGGCAATAAAATACTCCCTCCGTCTTGTTAAAAAGTTCCATATTTTCTTTTTTGGTAGTCCCAAAAAAGAAGTTCCTCTTTCCTTTTGAAGAAAGAATTGTGTGGTTTACAGAATTTCTTTCCTTTGCACAAAATCTACCACATACTTTCACCCTTATTAATTTTTTTTCTTAATTTTCAGGACAGGAGAATTGGGCAAGGAAATTTTTGTCCAAATCACTATCCTTTTTCTTTGTTGCATGGAAAAAACAACACCTTTGTGTCCTGTTGGGGATCTTGGGGGAGAGTTATTCCTCACTTTTGAAGGGGAAAATTACAAAGAGAAAAAGAAGACATGTACCAAACATGGGAGAAATATGTCTTTGGTAATAAAGTGGGAAGGAAAGACTCTCTCTTCTAATAAAAAAACAATTAAAGTTTTAGTCTCACTGTCCAGACCCTACGCTTGTGGGATTCCACTAGGCTGTTGTTTGCTGTAGTACAGATTACAGAATGTACAATTTTTTAGGATATTGTGACCGCCTGAAGCATGAAGCACCGTCATATTATTCTCCATTGCATATACTAACCTTACTGCTACATAGTAAAATGGGAACATTTACAACAGCTATTCTCAAATACATTCCAGGATAAGACAAGTAGGCCACTGGTACTATAGACACTCGAAGCAATTGGAAATAACAGAAACTCTACAAATAATAAAAGGAAATGATCAAAGACTGGTACATAGCAACAAGGGAACATTTACAACAAAAAAAAACCATTTTGAGGTACTCCCTCCATCCCACAACTAGATTGACGGTTTGACTTCACAAAATTTAAGAAAAGTTTTGAAAAGTGAAAAGTATGTAGTTGAAGTTTTTATACAAAAGAGAAATATTTGTGAGCCACGTAAGTGTAATATTTATTTTGGGATAGATGGAAAAGGTAAGTGTAAACTCAATTCAGGGATAGAGAGAGTATATTTTCCATCCGTCCCTAAATAATCTTTAAATTTTGACTTTACAAAGAGTTTCATAAATATGAAATTATGTGGTTGAAATTTGTGCCGAAAAGAGAGAATGAGTTTGGAAAATAGATTTAAAAAAAGAAATGATAAGAATAATTAGGGACATCCAAAAAAGGAAAGTGGAAGATATAAAAAGAGACAAAGAGAGTAAGAATTTGTTCTCTTCTAATTAATCTTTTTACTTATGACTTATTCTTGTTAGAATCAAATCAGAAACAGCTTTAAATATAACTAGAATCATATCAAATAAAATCAAAACTTAATAGATCAGAACTAACCAGATAAGTTGAAGAGAACACGCTCTAAGTATTAACCCTCTCACAATCTCTAGACAAGCCTTATACAAAATTTTAGGACAGCGTATAAACCAGATTTCTCTCTTCATAATTCTAACGAGTCATCCTTGGCTTTAATAACTCACACCTACGGCCAATCTCAAATACATTCCAGGATAGGACAAGTAGGCAATATGTGGCTACTGGTACTATGCTAGCGAAAAGAAGGAACATACATGGTTGATTCGTTATTTCGTTTCTTCGTTCAAACTATTGACTCCCAAAAAAACAATGAATTATAAGAAGCATAAAGCCGTCGCGTCAGATTTATTCCAAATAAATGCGGGAAGCAATTGGCAATAACAGAAACTATATAAATGAATAAAAGGAAATGATCAAAGACTGGTTTATATATATATATATATATATATATATATATATATATATATATATATATATATATCCATGGTGCTAGTAGAACTTCTAAGAAAGAACAAAATGCATATTCACTTAGAATGATACACTATATGTCCGGTATTTAAATGCATATTAACTAAGTTAGAATTTTACTTCATATGTTTTCATTATTCCATTTTTCAGTGTAACTTATGAACATGCCATCTGAAGCCAATAGATCAAATTGAACAATCAGCTAAGAAATCAATTGTATATACCAAATGCAGTATAAGATGGAGCAACTAAAGCATACCACTTTCCAGAAAGATCGAATCATCAAATTGATCTTCAGGATCACTGTCAGGGTCCGTATCAACCCCGCTTGCCTCCTTCCCCTGTATTTTTTTCACATAAGCATCAATTGCTTCGAACAACTCCAAACAGAAATCCCCCGGAAGCCCCAAATCCCTCCTCCGCTCGTCGTCAAACGACACCGTCCCGTACTGAGACTCCCATTCCTTTGCCTTCCGGTAATCGTCGAGCAACGAATCCCACTTCCGCTTGCACTGGTTCATGCTCCGGTTGACGTCGAGGGCGTTGCAGTGGGCGACAGTGAGCTGCCACTTCTGGAAGGACGACATCGTGCCGCCGCACTCCGCCTCCACGGCTATGACCTCGTTCACCAGCGTAAGCGATTCCTGCGCCGTCCAGTCCGGCGCAGCTTGCGACCGGGTGCGTCGTGAACCTCTTTCCATTTCCGATTTAAGCTGATCCAACGCCTTACACAGATGGAAATGTTGAGGAAGACGATTTTGGCTTATAGAGAGATGATTTAAAATTTAGGGTGTGTATTCAAAAAGAAATTATGGATTTTTTTGGATTTTCAAAGCTATATATATTCAATTTAGATTTTATAAAATCTTTTTAAATGTAATAATACTAAAAACTTGATAGATTATCTAAAATTCTTATAAAACATGATTTTGAGAGATTGTTGACTCGGAGTATAAATAAAAATTCATCTTAGAAATCTTAGGTAAAAGCTATAGTTTTTGTGATTCCCCCATCTTCTCCGCGATTCCCTGATTTCTCCTGCGCATGATTCGTCATTTTCTCCAATCTGGTTCCTCATCTTCTCTGACCTAGTTCTTCATCTTCTCCCATCGATCCAAGGGCTTGACTTTGTCGCTACTCCTCATCTTTTCCAATCCATTCACTTCGTCACTCTGATAATAAGGTAAGATCTCTTTATCTTCAAAAGCATATACTCCGTCCTTCCCTCATAAATGTTCTAAATAGCTCTTTTTCTTTGTCCACAATAGATCTTCTCATTTCATTTTTTAACAATTAAAATACCACAATTACTCCCACTTACTTTATTTATTACACCTCACCCACCTCATTTAATACACTCCGCCCATTTTTCATTAAGGGTATTATGGTAAACTTTTACCTTTTTTCAACTCTACTTAAAAACCACCAAAAGTCAAAATGAGAACATCTTAGGGGGACGGAGGGAGTATTAACGTATTATATCAAGTAACAATTATTAGACGGGCAGCGGTACTCACCTCGATATTTGGAAAAAGTTGTTTTGAGAAAATAACTTTTGACGGCAGTTCGAACTTTGGATGATCGGCGTAGATGGCCCAGCTCAAGTATCCCTTAACTATATTTTAATGGGAAATTTATTTAAATAACACTAAAGCATAATGACTTTCTCTAAATAGCATCATATATGTTTTTTCCCAATGTAGTACTTTTAGTCATTATTCATTAATAATTAGTCAAGTAAATGTTCACCATCACTACTGGACATTATTTCTCCTTCTGAACATTATTATGTGTGCTATTTAGAGAACTAGTATCACACCCGTGCGATGCACGAGTCATTTTTATGTTACTAAATTCAAATCATTTATCAATGATAAAAATGAGATGCAATAAAATATAGAGATTATACTCCGTATTATTTTAAGGTAAAAAACATCATTGTTTTACAAATTTCGAAAGATTTCTTTTGTAGACTACATTATTGTACAATTTCTGAGAATAATTATAGTGTATTTAATTGTAATATGCTATTATAATTATAATAAGAAGGGTTAACTTTTATCGAAATTGGGTGTATAATTATTCTTACCATAATTATTTTTTTCAAAATTGGGTGTATAATTGTATAACTTACCTTTTTGAATTATTTCCAATTTTCAAAAACTTACTCTTTACATTTCTATAAATTACCTATATTAAAAACTTACGCTTTGGATTTGTATAACTTACCTTTTTTAATACGATAGTTATTATAACTATAATAATTATATTAACTTCTGATGGCTTACAATTTTATATTACTCACATTAACTATTATAAAAATAATTATATTAACTTCAGATGGTTAAAAATGATACTTACTTATTTTTACCATAATTTCAGACATTTCCAATCATTAGTCAAAATAACGTTGGGTTAATTATTAGCATATACTCCCTCCGTCCTATATTGATCTTCCCACTTCCCTTTTTTTCTCGTCCTAAAATCATCTTCCCACACACTTTAAATACACATGTAATGACTAAAATACCCCTAAAAAGTTAAAACATTTATTACCCACCCACCCCATATCCAACCCACCCCTTTATCTTCATTCTTCACCGTCCACACCTTCGTTCTTACACTTCTCCGCCTCCCTCCTCTAAGCGTTTTCCAGCGATAGGGTTTCTCCTTTCTTTTCCTCTCTCAGATCCCTGAAACTCAAATTGCGTTTCCCAGCGATTAGGGTTTCTCCTTTCTCCTTTCTCAGATCCCTGAAACTGAGTCCGAATCCCAAGGAATGAACACTGAAAATCCGAGGATTGATGGCAGAGAGAATCAAAATTTAGACGCTTCAGGCACGGAGGAGGGGGAGAGTGAGTCGGATGATGCTGGATCTGACTCCAATCCTCTTCCAAACGTCGGCTGGGTCATTGCCGACAGTGAGTATGAGGAAAGCGAGTTGGAGGATGAGCCCATGCAAGGATTTGGAAGTGAATTGGATGAAGACCAGTTCATTGAGGAGGAGGAGGACAGAAACGAACTGTCTGATGCTGAAATGGGCAGCCACTCCGATGCCATTGGCACAGGGGTTGGCGAGGTCCAGCGATTTCCAGCCTTGCTGTCCTACCGAGACTA